TCAGTCATTTACTAATTTGTAATTGTGAATCTGGATGGTAAGATTATGGGTTGGACTTTTTATGGTCAGTTTTGAAAGGTTTTAAAACAAAAAAGGAAGCTGTTAGTCCTGTCTTTGAAAAACAGCAAAACACAATGGAAATGTTTCACATCATATGGGGATATTATATAAATAGCAAGAGGATTGTGTCAATTTATTATCAGTAGAAAACAGGGAAGGCACATTTCCTAGTCTTTATCTTTTGTGAAAAATATACATACTAAAATACAGCTAAGCTAATCATTAGCTCTAATTACTAAAGGTAACAGGATACAGCCAATATGTTCTCCTTAAAAAATAAGGTTACCAACTCTCATTTAAAATAATCATGTAAAGCACAAAAATTGAAAAAATACAACAAAGGGCATGAACATTGATCAGTAGAAAATGTAAACAGACTGAATAAAAAAGACTGACTCACTCATATTCATTTTGGAAACTCCATGATTAACAGCGTCATTGGTACAGTGACTTGAGCTACCATGACTATTTGGCAAATAATTGACCACTGTCTGTGTTGTTAGAAAGAGATCAAATTTTTGCTCAGCTGATTACATGGTAATCATACAGAAACTGTGACCTGGAAGAGCTATTACTAATATGCATTGAGAATATAGCATGAAAAAATGCAAATAGACATAAGCATGATTATTCATACAATAAAAGTGCTGGCAGTATTTCCTCTTCAAAGGTCAGAGAGTTAAGATATATGAAAATCCTTAGAAGTTACATGGAACTGAACACAGAAGCCAGCTCATATGCTGACATGTTGCTGTACTATAGATGGGCTAAAGTGGTTCTTTCATTGCTATGTGGTCTCCATTGGTCCCTTGGGTACAGGTGTCATTAAATAACTTGCTTCAGGTTACATACTTACTTAAAAAAATCAAATAATGTAGAAGTGAAGAGTTAAAATGAGAATACTCCTTTACTAGTGTGTGATTCTTCTCAAAGGTTTTCTGTGTACACGTAAACATTATCATGGCCAGGACTAGGGGACTAGGCATGCAGTGTGTAAAATTAAGGAGGCACTCAGGTGCCCCCTGGGTACCTCACTCACCTCCCTCTAGTCCTGGTCCTGAAACATATGCAAATATATGTGTATACTTTTATACAAATTTAAATGTAATGTAAAACCAAAATGGGATCATCTATACATGTATGACTTGCTTGTTTCACTTAATGTACGGCAAGTGCTCTTCCTTGTGAGTGTGTATAGATCTATGTCATTTTCTCCAATATTCTCACAATGTGTTATAACATCAATGTACTGTAATTTATTAAATCCCCCATCTGTTGATGGACATTTATATCATTTCAAATAGTGTCAGTTTTTGAATACTGCTAGTAATACTGCAATTTTATATAGACATTTTTGTGTACTTTTGTATTTTGGTAGGACAGATTATTGTCAATAATGCAGTTGTATATTCAATAAATATTCACATTTTAGGTATAGAGGTTTGTATCTCAACATATACATGTTGATAAACCCACAGCCAACATCACACTTAACAGCAAAAAGCTGAAAGCCTTTCCTCTAAGATCGAGAACAAGACAGGGATGCCCACTCTCACCACTTTTATTCAACATAGTACTGGAGGTCCTAGCCACGGCAATCAGACAACACAAAGAAATAAAAGGGATCCATATTGGTAAGGAAGAAGTTAAACTGTCACTGTTTGTAGATGATATGATATTTTACATAGAAAACCCTAAAGACTCTACCAAAAGACTATTAAAACTAATGCTGGATTTAGCAAAGTTGCAGGATACAAAATTAATACACATAAATATGTTGCATTCTTATATACTAATACCTAGTTAACAGAAAGAGAAATCAGGAAAACAACTCCATTTACAATTTTATCCAAAAGAATAAAATACCTAGGAATAAACCTAACCAAGGAGGTGAAAGACCTATACTCTGAAAACTACAAGACACGAGAGAAATTAAAGACACCAATAAATGGAAATATATCCCATGCTCATGGATAGGAACAATTAATATTGTCAATATGGTCACCCTCCCTAAAGCAATCTACAGATTCAATGCAATCCCTATCAAAATACCAACAGCATTCTTCAATGAACTAGAACAAATAGTTCTAAAATTCATATGGAACCACAGAAGACCCTGAATAGGTAAAGCAATCCTGAGAAAGAAGAACAAAGCTCCCAAACTTCAAGCTCTACTACAAAGCCACAGTAACCAAAACAATTTGGTGCTGGCACAATAACAGACCCAGAGATCAGTGGAACAGAATAGAGAGCCCAGATATAAACCCATATGTATATTGTCAATTAATACACAATAAAGAAGCCATGAATATACAATGGGGAAATGACAGCCTCTTCGCCAGCTGGTGCTGGGAAAACTGGACATGCATGGAGCTAGAGGGTATCATGCTCACTGAAATAAGCAAGGTGGAGGAAGACCAGTACTAAATGATTTCACTCATTTGTGGGGTATAACAACAAAGCAAAACTGAAGGAACAAAACAGCAGCAGACTCACAGACTCCAAGAAGGGACTAGTGGTTACCAAAGCAGAGCGGTAGGAGGTTCAATAGCATACAAGATGATATAGAAGAATGCATCAGAGACCTGAAAGTACCAAACAGAATCTAGGAGAAGGGGATTAAGGGGCAGTATAATTCATAATCACAATATAGGTAAGTCATGGGGAAGGCAGTACAGCATGAGAAGACAAGTAATGACTCTATAGCATCTTCCTACTATGCTAAACAGTGATCGCAACAGAGTGGGTGAGGACTTGAAAAAAAATTATACCACAGTTTTTCTTAACTGATATCTCAAGTTAAGGATACTTTTCCTAGTTTTGTAAGTATTATTAAAACTATAAATGAATGTCAAAATTAATTACATATATTTATTTTTTATTTTTTATTTTTGAGAGGGCACTTCTCATATTTATTGATCAAATGGTTGTTTACAAGAATAAAATTCTGTATAGGGGACTCAAAGCACAATCATTAATCAACCCCAAGCCTAACTCTCAACAGTCTCCAATCTTCTGAAGCATAAAGAACAAGTTCTTACATGGTGAACAAGTTCTTACGTAGTGAATAAGTTCTTACATGGTGAACAGTGCAAGGGCAGTCATATCACAGAAACTTTCGGTTTTGATCACGCATATGAACTATAAACAAGTCAGATATGATTATTCATTTGATTTTTATACTTAATTTATATGTGAATCCCACATTTCTCCCTTATTTTTTTTTTAAATAAAATGCTGAAGTGGTAGGTAGATGCAAGATAAAGATAGAAAGCATAAGTTAGTGCTGTAAGAAGGCAAGTGTAGACAATCAGGTCTGTGCCTATAGACTAAGTATTAATCCAAGCTAGACAAGGGCAACAAAACATTCACGGATGCAGAAGATTTCTCTCAAAACAGGGGTGGGTGAGGTTCTAAGCCTCACCTCTGTTGACCCCCAATTTCTCACCTGATGGCCCCCCTGCGACTGTGCCTGTCTTAGGTTGTTCCTCCCTTGAGGAATCTTACCTGTCTCTGGCTTAATTACATATCTTTTTGAAAGTAACTTCTAATAACAATAGCAAAAACTTAAATACTACCTAATATATGGAAGACAGTGTTTGAACTTTTACATTTATTAACTAAATTAAAATGGAGGAAATAATTGTACCTAACTCAGAGTTTATAAAATATGAGATAAACATACTGAATGGAACATAGTGGATGCATGTTATATGGAACTCTCTGTGCTTCCTGAAACTGGATGTCTGTATCTTTTTCCAGATTAAGGAAGTTTCCAGCCATTCTTCAGATAAGTTTTCTGCCCCTTTCTCTCTTTTCTCCTGGGACCCTTATAATGTGAATATTATTCTACTTGTTGTTTCCTGGAGGTCCCTTCTTCTCTATCATCTTGTTTGCTGTTGAACCCTCTATTGTGTATTTTTCAGTTCAGTTATTGCATTCTTCATCTCTACAACTTCTGTTTGGTACTTTCTTATGGTTTCTATCTCTTTGTTCAAGTTCTCACCATGTTATTTGTCTCCTGAGTGTGGCAAGCACCTTTATGATCACTACTTTGCACTTTTTATCAGGTAGTTTCATATCCCCATTTCATTGAGGTCTTTTTCTGAGGTTTTGCCTTGTTCTTTTGTTTAGAACATATTCATCTGTTTCCTCATTTTGCTTGTCTGTCTCTGTGTTTCTGTGCATCAGGTGGAACCACCACCTCTCCCAGTGGAAGGAGTGCCCTGGTTTAGGACGTGAACCTGAGTGTTTAGCCTTGCCCTAGTTCTTGGTTGTCTCTTGAACCTTTGTGTTTGTCTGAGTAACCTGATTTTTTCTTGATAGGGCCCAGTTGTTGAGGGTGTGTCTCTATCCTAAAGGGAGTGAGCTCAGTCAGTACCTAGATTCAGGCTGATTGGAAGCTAGATCTTTAGGCTGCAGCTTTTAAAGTATGCAGGTGTGTACAGTGCCGTGGAAGCACAGTCACAGACCCTGGAGATCAGGAGACAACGCAGGCCATCTGGAGGTGTCCTGCGGGCAACAGCTGCAGGTACTTGAGCTTCAGATGGTTGTATGAGCTTCTTTCTAGGAGGTACCAGCCACATCTTTGGGGGTAGTGTTTTGGCCAGACTGTGTTTCTGCTTCTCCTATCTGTCTAGATGTGGCCCTTTTATTCCTTTTTGAGGAGAAAGCCATTCAGCTACTTTTCAGCTGAAATTATTCCATGTGTAGCTGTAGATGCGGTGCATCCATGGAAGGAGGTGAGTTGAGGGACTTGCTACACTGCCACCTTGGAATGCTCTCTCTATTTTTAATATATCTTAAGGCAACTGAAGGATTTCTTCACCCTAAGCAATTTGAGTAAATGTGATTTTGTGGGGTATTTTTGGTTGGGATTTTCTTGATGTCCTCAAGGACAATCTGACCTTTTCATCCGTGCTTTTGTAATAAAATGACAGGCATTTCAAGAGATGAGAGGCAGGCAAATGCCCAGGACTCAGAAGTGCCATCCCACCCATCAAGAAGAGCCCCCAAATTAAGAATCCCAGAGATTCCATACAAACAACCGCATGGAAAAGAAGCCAGAGCTACAGAGGTGATCTGGATCCAGGAAGAAATGGAAGATGCCTGCAATCAAAAAGTGAGTCTGTAAGTTACTGTATGTGCTCTAGCTTGTCTTTTTTTCAGAATTTTAAATCTATTGGTATTTATTCAACTTTTCTTCTCCTCCAAGCCTTAATTTAATCACTGCTAATGTTTGCTAAAGAAAAGTGGATTCTGTCTTTTAGTCTTAATAAAGATTAAGTTTTTCTCAATCTCAGTGAGGAAGGTAATTATCATAGTGGAGGGACTAGATGGTTTAAATTATTTTTTTGGAAATGAGGGCTTATCTTGGGGTCTTGCTCTTCAATTTACTGGCTATTTGATCTCTGTCGCTTTTTAAATCTGTCTCCATCACAGTTTCCTGATCTGGGAAATTGAGATAATAATAGTACCTATTATTATCTAAAGCCGCTGATAATTGTTAGATATCAGTATAATTATTGTTAACTGAATATGCGGGAGTAGTCTTTCTACTCTTCTACCTCATGACTTTTGGGTATAAAATGCCTTTGTTTGGCAGGTCAAGGACAGTGACACCAACCGTTGGCATTACCACTGGGCCTGGGATTGAGCTAAGTGTTGAGAAAAATGAAAACATGGTCCTGACCATAGATATCCTGAAATTTATATATGTATAAAAATATACAGTAGAAAAGCTGTATTCAGTTGTAAACATTTATTAAGCTAACACTTTGTGTACTTTTTATGCATATTATTAATCAGTAAAAAGAACAAAAAAATAGACAATTGCTATGGCAATCCCATGATTTGGGGTGTGAAAAAATAGATACTTATAGCTTAGTTGAAATTAGCAATTGAAATGCACAGTTTTCCTTTTTTGGAACCTCCATACCAATAACACAGTAGAGATTATCATAACTCATCACCAACCTGGTTACCGTTCCAGAGTTATAGTTGGTTCCCAAACCAGGTGAAAATCTAAACTAAAGAACTGGCTAAAAGACAGCTAAAATAATTGGTTTGCTCTGTGTCTCTACAATAATTTAGGCTCCCTATAAAGTCCGAGGGAAAAATGTTTCACAGAGGAGTTTGCTACATTAGTCCGCCTCTCTGAAAGCAGGAGAGGGTTTTTCTTCTGACTCTGGCACAAAAACCCTGGGACAGAATGCCTGACCCTCCTCTTATTGTGCCCATCCCTGTTACGCTGCTTGGCTTCTGATATCAGGGGCAGCGGAAGCACTGCGACTGATGGTCCCCAAGATGGCGTGTTTCTTTGAAGGCAGTGAAGATAGGCAGACAACTCATATGTGTTGGCACTGCACGTAAAGTTTAGACAGTCTCCTGCTTGATCAAAATTTCAAATTGGAGACTGAGTTCAGGTACTGATTTCAAGATAATTGCTGCAATTTAGGTAGACCCAGTGAGGACAATGCACTGGAGAAGAGATATGATAAAAGATCTGATATTAAGCTGTAGTGTCTGTAGACGTAACTGACGTATTGTATGCAGAGGATCAGTGACCTAGAGGGAGGAGCCCAGTGTGGTTCCCAGATCTCCAGTTTGGGTGGCTTGGAGGAAGGTGGTGACATTGCTGTTGAAAAAGGAGACAGGAAGAGAGGTAAGTTGAGGCAGAAAGGAAGATGATGAGTTCCGTTTTGGACACGTTGAGTTGTAGGAAATAATAATGAGCTGCAGAAATGTGAGTAAAACCATATTGTAAAATTTAAAAAAAACCTAGATTCTTTCAATAAATGCAAGATTTACATGATTGAAAACATCCACAGCAGGAAAAGAAAGAAGAGCTTGATAACTGAGTTTCTTCTGGCAAAACAAGCCCATCGTGCGCTCTGCTTTACTTGGGTAACCGAAGCAGCCTTGGCCTGTTAAGAATAACTTTGTTCCACTTCATTTTATTATTACTAAGAATACCTCTTTAGAGAATTTCACTTTTATCATTTCAAAGTAATTCAGACTTTTTGAAAAGGGCAAAATAAAATGATACTTGAGTGCAATAATAAATATTTTGACACAGACTCTTCTCTCTAAAATGCTTGCAGTTACTATAAATAACAGCTGTCATGAAAAAATAGTTTAAACAATACAGAAAAACAGCTAAGAACACTTAGATCTTCCTACTCTGACATAGCCACTATTAGTATTAGAGGTATAATATTTCATGCATCTCACACACACACACACACAAATACAGATGCAAATTTATTTAGATGGAGATATATCACATATATTCTTTTAATTATGGACATCCATGTGTTTCCTAAAACAGTCTTGTTTACTTAAGTTTATTCCTGCCTCCTTCCTTTTCTTTATTCCTTTATTTTCTTTATTCCCTTTCCAAAGCAACTTATATTTAATGATACACATGTGTACATATATTTAGTAAATTATATATTATGTAAGTATATATACACATTTTGTATGCATATATATAATGTATACAAACAAAACTTTGGAGGATTCAGTCATTGATTAATTATTTTTAAAAGCTAGGGTCATATTATATATATTTTTCTGTGTTTGCCCTTCCCCCTTAACACTACGCTGTGAAAGAACCCTCAGGTCAGTTGCTTTAGGCATCATGTAAGTATCTCATCTACTTGAGACTGATTTTCCTAAGAGCTGAGACAGTGTCCTATTTGTTTTCAGTAGAACCTACTCTCTCACAGCATGTCCTGGGGACTCAAGATTGAATATACTAATATTATCAAAAGTGTAAAGCCAGGCTATTGAGAATGAAAATATTTGGCCCAAGCAATTTGCCAGAGGTCATTTATGCCAAGTGCAAACGTCAGAGCTCTACACCCCATGAGGTTGGTAAAGGTATTATAGGCATCCCTTGGAGATTTGTGGGTTCAGTTCTAGATGACTGTGATAAAATGATTATTATAATAAAGCAAATCGAATTAATTTTGGGGGTTCCCAGTGCATATATAGAAGTTATGTTTACAGTATCCTTTAGTTCCCTATGTGTGCAATAGCATTATGTCTAAAACAGCAATATACATACTAATTAAAAATATTTATTGCTAAAAAACGCTAACCCTATTCTGAGCTTTTGGTAAGTCCTAATCACTGATCACAGATCACCAGAATAAAATAATAATAATGATAAATACGAAATATTTGTGAGAATCACCAAAATGTGACACAGAGACATGAAGTGAGCAAGTTGGAAAAATGGTGCTGACAGGCTTGCTTGGCACAGGGTGGCCACAAACCTTCCATTTGTAGAACATGCAGTATGTGTGCAGCGCAACGGAAGGAAGCACAACACGGCCAGTTACGCCTGTATTCCCACGTCACACACAAAGAGAATGCGGGGCATTGACTTAGAATAGTTCTTCCATGAGTGAAGATCCCTGTACAGTCAGAGGTACTGCACTGCAGTCTCACAAACTGATGGAAAGTGCGTAAAGACCCATGTGCTGGCAAGTAAATGGTAGCCGTGGTAAAATCATGCCTCACTTGGATGAGTCATTGACTCTGAAGGACTCAGGCCAGTCTCCTGCCGCCCTCCTTGCTTCTCCCGTGGTCACTGTTTTCCTCGTTAGAAGTCTTCTGTGGTCAGTGGGGGACATGAATTCTCACATTCCATTTACAGAGAAGAATGAGACACAGTGAGGCCAAGTTATTTTATCAAGTGATGTTGAAGAAGTCAGTAAAGGAAAGAGACAGAGAAAGCAGTCCCATTGATTCCCAGACTATAGGTGCCTCTAAACAAAACCTGAATTCCGGAAAACGCCATTCAGCTTAAGTTTTGTTATGAAAGTGAACCTCAACACTTGGTTAATTTATGGCATTAAGGAGAATAAAAGCGGGAAGTGTGGTGCTTAGTACAAAGTGGGTACATAGCTGGGAGCACAGGCAGGCTGTGTCTCTCCTAGGCTGCGTGTGCTGCCCAGGTGGCCTGCCTCAGATTCTCCCAGGGGGCGTGTTGAAAGGCAGAGCCTGGGTCCACCCAAGAATCAGAATCTGGGGGATGGAGCCTGGAATTTGGAGGATAGGATACACTTTTAATAAGCATGTAACATAACTTTTATGTGTACTAATGTTTGAGAACAACTGTATGCCCTTCCAGGGACCCTCTCTGGCATCTTGGCTTAGTGAGAAAGGCAACCACTTACTGTCGGCTCTTGGGGAAGTTACTTAAACTCCCCAGTTCCTGGTTTCTCCATCTACAGAATAGGGATAATAGCACCTATTAGCACAGACAGTTACCGTAATAATCAAAAGGCATATGCGTAAAGAGTCTGACACCCAATGTTTAACTATAAATGGCATTAACCCCAAATTAACCTTAATTAAAGAGAAGGCTTGTGAAGCTGTTTTAGAAAACTTGAATCTGATTATCTTGGTGTGTTTTTCAGTTTGGAAAGAATCTTGGAGAAAGGAAATCAGGAATTCGGTGATACACAGTAACTAAGCCCATAGGAAGGTCGAGATCTAGAAAACTCTATGGGAAGCACCGTCACCCCTTCGTGGCCTTCTTTAGGAACCGATGGGTGATGTCGTGGGAGTGCAGACCCAGGCAAAGGCACGGAGCCGAGGACGTGTGGGTAATGGTGGTAAAGCTGTGCTGATGCAGGTGCCAAAAGGTGAAGCAGTGATGCTCAGGCAGACTGGGAAGCAGTGACGCACGTGGACCTCTAGGGTACTGATCAAGCTCTGCTGAGTCAGGAAAAGCAACCAACCATCCCAGGGCCATCATGAATCATAACTTTGTGAATGCATGTGATGGACACAGTTCATACATTTTCTCCAAGAAGGAAGCGACTAAAAAATGAAATTTAGAACCAATTTTAAAGAGCAATGTGAGAAATTGTATTAAGGGAGCTTCTTAGTTATGACTGGGAGTAAGTCACAATCTCCCTTAGCTTTAGAGGCCTCAACTGTGAAGCAAACAATTGTCTTTTGAGGCCTGTTTTAGTGGGAGGAATCTCCTGATTCTGTAATTACACAACTAAATGCTGGCATTAGTTTAATTTAGTCTAAGTCCCATATGAATTAAGAGTTTTCACAAAATATTATTTCCATTAGATTTACTATGTTGTGCATCTT